ACTATACATACAGTTCTTAATTCACTTTTCCACAAAGAGGTGGTCATTAATTTCTTTCAAGTATGGACTTGCTAAAGGCAGCATCGGGAACGTGAGTCTGGGCATGTGGGAGGCCTTCTGAAGCATGAGCTGGTTGGCAGGCAGAGTACCTGAGGGATTGTACAGGGCATCCCCTGCACTGAGTGTTCCTGGGTGGGCTGGGAAGAGGCTTCTGAGTACAATAGCTCCTTGTAGCCCTGTGGATGCTAGCTGTGAGGTCACTTCTGTCCCAGAACCTTGGCAACAGGGAAGGAAGAGCCTCTGAGGTCATAAAAGGCCATCAGAAAGCTGCCCCCAACAGGGTGACACATTTAGGGAGGTCAAGGGAAATCTGGGAGAATAAGGAGATTTGTGGGAGAGAAGATTAGCTTGCTAATGGAAAGGAAAGATTTTGAAGAAGTGGCAAATGGTTCAGGTAAGGCTGATGGTTCTGCAATACTCACAGGGAAAATATTAATTTATGCCCTCATAATATTTCTAACCAGGAACATTAAAACCTAGTGCTACCCTAATTACTATGCTTCACCATGGAAAGAATCCACTGCTCTAATCCAAACTTCAAATCCTACCTTTATCTTAAACCCCCAAACACATCACCTGTTACCATTAGTCTTATCCAATTGATCGCACTCATCCCTAGCCCTTAATCGCTTTTTGCCAGCCTTAACACCAACCCTTGTCCCATAACAAAGCACATAATAAAACCCTAACCAGAGACTGGTGGGGATGAACTGCTCATGTCAGCTGTGCCTAGGGATCTCTAGTGGCAGCAGGAGGCCCATGGCTGTGCAGGTGGATGTCAGGGCACTTCTGACTGAGGATATCATGTGCGACCTTCAGCAACATGGCTGGTGTATACTTTTATCATTTTAGCTGTCATAAGTAACTGAGGAGATGCTGACATGAAGCTAGTGTAAATATTTATTTCAAGGTCAGTCCTGACCTAGTACCTAACAGAGCTTTCACACAGGGGTCTTCTGTCCATCAGAGAAGCTGAAAGGCCATCAGGAGGTGCATGGCCTTGGAAGATGAAAACGACCTTGCCTTTATCTTGCTAGGTGCCAGGTGTGGAGGGTGCTGGGTTTGGATGTTCTTATATGTCAATTGTGCCTTAGAGACTCCAGCAGGAAGCAATTGGTTTTGGTGGGGACTGTGAGCTCGCTTCTGCCTCTGGAGTTGAGAGGCCAGCATCAGGAGCATGGCTGGGCAAGGGACTGGGAGGTCCTATCTATCTGAAGTAGCTGCCAGGTCAACCCTCACCTCTTGCCAGATGGACTTTTAGGCTCACATCTCGCAGTGTCTCTCACAGACCAGCAGAAGGCACCTGGTGCTTGTGTGATGCCCTCTGCCCAAGTACCTGAAAGGCCCATTCAGAAGCAGCCTTGGCAGTGGGTTGTTGTCTTGTGCCTGAGTACATGACTGGAGAGGCGGTCATGTGGCTTGGTTGTGTCTATCTGAGGAGCTGAAAGTCCATCAGGAAGGTCACATAGCCTGGAAGACCATGGTGAAGTTCCTTGTGTCTGGTCATCTGACAGGCCCCATGAAAGCTGATGGGTGTGGATGCCTGTGTGAAGGATGCCAGCATTTTCTCAGCCTCAGAGCCACCTGCACAGGGCCTACCTCTGATCATGGCCTCCAATTGCCACCACAGATCTCTGAGGTGTCCATGGGGCTTTTTCAGAAATGGCCCTCATTGCGACCAATCAATGCTTTGAAGAACTCTGGGGTTTGGCTTCTGGCTTTGACTTTCTGAGAGATTTCATCAGTCTGCTCGCAGGAGCTGAAGTTGATAGACTTAGCATCAACTACACTTTGGGGCTTATTAAGACACAGAAAGGCCTAACAGCCTCTTAAGGAGATCTGGACAGGTAGGAGAAGTTTGACCCTGTAGAGACAACCTTTCTCCTCACCTCCCCAGATCACACCATTTCTCTCATTGATCCCCTAGGACTTGCATCACCCCTGACATCAGACTTCTCCACTCAAGTCTGCAGTTGCACCTTGTAGTTCCCTTGTCCCAAATCCCTCTTACTTTCCTTAGAACATCCTATAACATAAAGGACTATACATGATACATATATTACTACGTTTAGCCTATGTATATTACCATATATATATTACCATTTTTTTCTTGTATATTGAACAATATCATGCATCTTTATAGTAACATATCAAACAATACCTTCACACACAAAAAATATAAACAGCTTCTTTAATGAGTACCTTAATCAAATTAAGTGCCTTCAATCAAAATTCAGGGGTGAATAAATAAAACTTTTACTCCTTTCTCTACCCATGTCTCAGAGGCTTCCTTACCAAGGTTCTGGTTTGCTCAGTGTCAGCTGGCAGCATCCTTCCTCAGCACAGAGGAGAATTGAAACACAGGGCTGCTTTAGCCCACCAGAGATCACAATTCCAGGACTGTCTGCTTCTCAACTTTCAACAAACACAACCCACACAGATCCTTGCTCGATGAACACTTTAATTGATGAGGGTATTTCTCTGGAGTTTCGCAGAGACAAAATTTTTCTGAAGTCTGTAGCTCATCAGCTGAGATTTCTTCCAGATGAGAAAGCCAGGTGTGAGACCTGAAGAGGAAAAGAAATTCTCTTAACCCCCACCATGAGCAATAGCCCAGGTGCAACATGGACAACCAAGTTGCCAAAGTACTGAGATGATACAGCCCACTGGGAGCAAAGGAATTAGATGTGAAGGAAGGGGTCCAGCTGGAGGAGAGATACCATAGATGAGAGCCTGTGAATAAAAATAGATGGGATAACCCACACATGGTTTCTGGGGTCAGTTCTGATACCTTTGGTTATCGAAAATTCTGCATGGATCGGAAAAGCATGACATAGGCTTTTAAGGTGACTGTCCCCCCATTTCAGTAGCTGCAGGAGGTAGAAAATACATGGACTGGGACAGATGCTGTGCACTTCTTTCCTGGGTGCTTACAAAAAAAGTGTTCCTTCCTCTTCCTTGACTAGCTCCACCAGAATGAGGAGTTCATGTATCAGGCTTGGATGTGAAGCCTGTGCTCCAGTGTGAGGCTCCTGAGGCAGACTGGGATGCATATCTCTTGTCCTTAGCAGCAACAGCACAAACAACTGTGCCCAGTGGGTCTCCCTGTCCTGCATTTCCATTCAAGACAGAGGTAGCTTTATAAACTAAAGAGGGTAGTATTAGACGGATATTCAGAAGAAATTGATTTCTCTGAGGGCGGTGAGGTACTATAACTGGTTGACCAGAAAATTTGTGTGTGCCCCATTCCTGGAATTCATGAAGGCCAGGTTTAATGGGGTTTGAGCAACCTGGTCTGGTACAAGGTGTTCTGGCCTATGGCAGGGCAGTTGGAACTAGGTGATGTTTTAGGTAGCTTTGAAACCAAATCTTCCTATGTTTTTGTGATCTTATGATTAATGTGACTGACCAGACTTGTTTCCCATCACTGCCTCCTATGATTATTTACCCTCGTTGTAGGGGAAAAGGTCCTTGACCAGATCCCCTCCGTGCTTAGCTGCCTGTCAGGTCTAAACCACAACATATTGCTGTTGGTGACTGGGCCAATCTTCAGCTAAAACAATTACAGCCAATGGATTAATCTGAACAAGTTTTCCAGAGGAAGCCAGTGCACAGTGCACAGTGCCTCAGCAGGGCATTTGGAGTCTAAGACCAGCCCAAATCCCAGGCTGAAATGTCCACATAAACATGGTTGTACTCCCCACTTCTGATCTTCCCATTTTACTGCCTAAGTGCACCCATTCTACCCTGGGAAAGGTCCTGAGGGGACAATACAGCCCACTGAGAAACTACTTTTCTGCCTTCAACCTGTCTTCTGTTCTTCCACCCTTGCATTTTGAGGTGTTCTCTTTTTGCAGTCATTTCTCTGATCCTTTCTGTCTAAAAACATAGGGAAAGGTGAAGGAGAAAATATCTGTTTTATTAAACAAGTTTCTCTCTCTCTCTCTCTCTCTCTCTTTATTTATTTATTTATTTATTTTCTCTTAGAAGAGTAGTTTTGATTTACAGAAGAGAATAATTTACCAAAATCATCAGACACCTGAGACTTCAGTAATGAGTTTCACCTATTTCACTCCTGGTGCCTGTGAGAACTTGTTCTCCCGAGGCTCCCCCAACAGTCAATGGAGACAAAAGAAAGTGCTCGTGGCTGGGTCATCACAGCCTAGAACTGTAATACAAGATAAAGGTGAGGAATCTCTTTCAGATGCTCTTCTCTCTCTCAGCATTGACAGGATAGGAGTAAGTTAAATTGCTCAACCTGAATGATATAACTTTTAGACAACTGAAATATACACCTGCATGGTAATACTTGGCACTTTGTTTTTTCTAGGTGCTTCCTCTTTCTACTTCAAGGACTGTCCTTAAGCTTTCAAAGATGACAACATTTGTTCCACCTCTCAGAAAAGTAAGGCAGTTAGGTGAGGCCATTTGATTGTACGAGAGAATAGCAACTATTTGGAAACAACTGCATTTCCACACAGAATGAGGTCGGATGCGACTCTGTGACAGATCTGTTTCCACTGACCTGGTGGGACCATAATGAATTTTGACTTCAATTTAGAGTACTGAAAAAAGCAAGCTACACTTGCTACTTGTATTCCATCTTTCCTAAAGAAACAGAGGAAGATGATGTAGAAGAAAGCAGGGCGTTACAAAAGAGGTACTTGAAATTTGCTTAATTTGAAATCAAGCAAGGGATCCCCAGTGGTTGCTAGTCCAAAAAGGGTGGATACTGAAGAGGAGAGATAATAAATTCCAATGTACATATTTGAACTGATGATTTAGCTTTTACATAATAGAAAGCATTTATGCAGGACATGAAATTCCCTTTGGAAACACTGGTATGATGGATGCTTGCAATTCTTCTGAGTGGAATTTCACAGGAATAGAGTATAACAGAGTAACAATCCGTTCTTAGCCCTGTATTTTTGTAGCGAGAATCATTTGTAGCTGATGGACAAAGGTGGAAAGAAGACAAGAAATTCTCTGAGGATTCTGCATGATATGTGAAACAGAAAAGTCAGGGTGTGAGGAATGTGCAAAAGAATCTGTGTGTGTGTGTTGTATAGGAAGTCTGCAAGCAAGGCAAGAGAGAAGGAAGGAGATAGCTTTCTGTCCAGACCATGAAATTATTGGACTTGTTTTTGCCATGTTCCTACGTCAGCAGGATGAATGGAACTTGGGTATGGGAACAGGCAATGGAACTGTCATTTCTGAATTCATCCTCATGGGCTTCTCAGGGCTTGATCAAAGGCTACGGCTATTTCTCTGCCTGGTCCTTCTACTCATGTACCTGACAACGGTGATGGGGAATGCAGCCATCATTTTCCTGGTGTGTGTGGATAACCGCCTGCAAACCCCCATGTACTTTTTCATTGGCAATCTGGCATTCCTGGAAATCTGGTTTACATCCTCCACAAGCACCAAACTGTTGGTAATTCTGAGCTCTGGCAGGAGAACAATCTCAGTAGGCAGATGCTTTGCCCAGTCCTCCTTCTATTTTGCCCTGGGTGCTGTAGAGTTTTCTCTCCTTGTTGTCATGTCCTTTGACCGTTACCTTGCCATCTGCCAGCCTTTGCGCTATGCTGCCATCATGAAGCATCAGCTCTGCGTCCAGCTGGTTGCTGCTGTTTGGGTCATGGGCTTCACATTCTTGATTTACCACCTGGTGCTGCTCTCCAAGCTCACTTTCTGTGGTTCAAACAAGATCCAGCATTTTTTTTGTGACAACACCCCCTTATTCCAACTGTCTAGCTCTGATGTCACCCTGCTTTGGAAAACTGAATCTGTTTTCATATTGTTTATTGTGCTGTCTTCCTTGTGTCTAACTCTGGCATCTTACACAAGCATCTTCTTCTGTATCCTACAAATGCCAGCAGCCTCTGCAAGGAGAAAAGCTTTTGCTACGTGCTCTTCCCATCTCACCACCTTGGCCGTTGTCTATGGAAGCTGCATTGCTCTCTACGCACCCTCCTCAGGACATGTTTCTTTGGAGACCAACAACATTGTAGCTTTGCTGAACACTGTCCTGTACCCATTCTTAAACCCATTCATCTACAGTCTTAGAAACAAGGCTGTGATGCTGGCCCTGAAGGAAGCCATGACCCGTGCAACAGCACAGCTTTTCCCCTAACCGTGATTCATTTCTGAAGAGCAATTTGAGTTCTCTGCCGTCGTATCTTATGTAATACCACAATCATACATATGTGACCTCCACATGCAGATGCCTCCAGAGGATTATGTTCTTGCTGGATTGTATTAGGCTGTGTGATAAGAAGCACATCTGCAAACAAAATAAAGGCCCAAGGAAATGATGACAGGATGAATAATTCGGTTCATGCCCTGCCCTGGCTGCTTCCAGGCCCATCACAGGAGAGTCCTCAGCTCAACAAAAGCCCATCTCCATGAGCCCAGAAGAGCACAAAGCACAATGGCAGGTGGGAACCCAAGTCACTGGCTCCTATGGAACCAAGATCTTGTCCCAGCTCCTTCCAGGACTGCCTTGGGAGGGCTATCACCCCACTGTCCAGGCAGAAACCCATCCAGATGTGTCACTGGCAGCAGCTCTCCACATCACCATTTGGAGTAATGGGATTGCTGCCAAGGGCTGTAGGTCACCTGATGATCATACATAGGGGTAAATGCAGCAGCTGGACTATAACCAGGGCATCAGAGGGCCCATGTGTCATTGTAGTCAGCAACAGGAGAGATGGGAGTGTGTGGACTTAATGTGTGTGTGCCTGTGTCATTGTGAGTGTGTGTGAGATTGGGGTGGTGTGTGGCAGCAGCTACAGTGGGGCTGCACCCACAGGGGCTCATATGTCCAACCGTCTTCAGCTGGGCAGACTGGGAGTCAGGAACTTGTCCTGGACAGGCTGAGTATCTGATCCCAGCTGCTGGAGGGTTCTACCTTGCACACATGCACATGAACATGCATTTGTGCACACAATAACTTTGTGTTTCCAAATAATGGGCCTCCATCTTGCTCAGCCAGAGAGGCAATCAGGATAATGCTGCTGCTGTTTGTGGTTGTGTGAATGCTGAGTGTACCTGCCTGCATTCACCCATGTCCTGTGTCATTGTGGACTGCACTCTGCTGCTAAAGGGATTGAGAAAAACACATTCGTGATATCAGTCGTGGCATAACTCTTGTCTGGCTTTGATTCTAGTTCATATTGGAGTTCTACCACGTCCAACGCTGCAGCACTCAGCAGTGGCATGATTTCATTCAGGCCATAATAGTCCACTGTTAATCTCCACTTTTCGTCAACCATTCACACTGACAATATGGGACCATTAAAGGGTGAGCAAGTCTTGCTGATCACTTCTTGTCTCTCCAGTCAATAAATCAGCTCATGAATGTGAATCAGGGAGTCTCAGTTAGTGCAATATTGCTCCTTGTGCACCACTGGGGTAGTGATCAACATCTGCTGCTCCTTGACCCTCAGCAACCCTACAACAGAAGGGTCCTCCTAAAGACTGGGCAAGGCAAACAGCTGTTTAATCTCACTGTCTTAAAGAGGCTGCACTTCAGCCTCCAACACAGTTAACTGTCAGGATTCCTCCGTCACTCCAGAGATAAAAATGAGTTCTGCTCCTTTATAGCTGGATGACATTGCAGTACACCTTGCACTGGTTTCCACTTGAGCCTCATACTTCTGTGGATCTGATGTGTCAGGCCATCGAACCCACACTGTCCAATAACCTCAGTTGTCCCTCCACCTGACTGGAGGCAGAGCACCTCTAGTCCTGGTCAGAATATTCATGGAAATTGGAGCAGCAATTGTGGGTAAAACTACGGAGTGGTATGTTGTGTGGACCTACCATATCCCCTTTCTTGAGCAGAGGCATGTTTACTCCTAAAAGCTGAAGTACTGGTTCATACACATAGAGGGAGTAAGGTATATGCTCTTTGAGTTGGTGGACCTCTTGGGAAAGTTTCTCCACAACCAAGACACAGGCCCATAGTGCAGAAGAAATGCCTGCCATGACCATGCTGCATCTAAGGGGATCTACTTTCCGTTAGGGCTATCTGCACAAGAAAAGTCTTAGAAAAACAGACCATAGAAAGATAAATACTGTAAAGGAGTTCATGACAGTTCTGGGAGATTGGGCAAGTTTCTAACTCCCTGAAACTCATACAGCAACTGGGCAAAATAGAATCATAGAATCATTAGGGTGGGAGAGACCTCCAAGGTCATCTGGTCCAACCAGTACTACCAATGTCACCCACTAAATCATGTCCCTAAGTGACAGGTCCAACCTCTGTTTAAAAACCTCCCAGGGACGGTGACACTACTGCTTTCCTAGGCAACCCATTTCAATGCCTGACTACTCTTTCTGAGAATAAATGTTTTCTAATTTCCAAACTAAACCTCCCTGGAGCAACCTGAGGCCATTCCTTCTAATGAAGAACTGGTCCAGGGCATTGCCTTGGCAAAGGGGAATGGACAATGTACAGGCAGTGTGCACCATGGCTTTGAGAAAACCACTGCCCTGTTGAGGAGTAGCCCTGATGAGAAGGACCTGAGGGTTCTGGTTGAAGAGAAGCTCAACATGAGTCAGGAATGTCCACTTGCAACCCCAAAAGCCTACAGTATCCTGGGCTGCATCTAAAGCAGAGTGACCAGCAGGTTGAGGGAGGTGATTCTTCCTCTCTTCTCTGCTCATGTGAGACCCCACCAGCACAACAGACACATAAGATTTTGGACATAGGACTTAGTGAGTGGGACCAGAGCAGAGCCACAGCAATAATCAGTGGAGTGGAACACCTCTCCTGTGAAGGCAGGCTGAGCCAGTCGGGTTTGTTGAGCCTAGAGAAGAGCAGACTCTGGGGGGAACCTTCTTGCTTTCCAGTACTTAAAGGGAACAAATAATATGGGGAAAGACTTTTTCCAACTCCAACCAATTTGTGATTCAGTCATTCTAGAATGTTTTGCAATGCCTCTCAGAACTTTCTTGTAGTATCATTGCATCAGCTGTACTCCAGGTTCCCAAGGGTAGAGACTCATTTTGAGAATGACAGCACTCACTGTGGAACCTTGAGGAGCAGGGATTACAATCAGCAGTGAGGCCTCAAAACACAGCATTGTCATGCACTCTAACTCCACAGCCTAGCCCTTTCTTCCCTGAGTCAGAAGGGACCTCTGGAGGTGTTAACTACCATCATCTTCTCTGAGCAGTGATAGCTTTACAGGTAGATCACTCACCAGGTAACCTTGAGGAGCAAGGATTGTAAACATCAGCAAGGCCTCAGAACACTGGATTGTCACGCACACTAATTTCACAGTCCAGCCCCTTGTACCCTGAGTCAGAATGCAACAATTAGACATTCTCTCCTGAACCTAAGTAGGAACAGACCCTTGTGGAGAGAAATAAATTCTTTGGGCCTAATCTTGACACTGGTTTGGAAAGGAAAGCCCAGGCTTGAGGCATTTCACTGGGGTGATTCTATGTTATTTGAGAGATGCTATGAGAGAGTCTTCACAGACTCACTCACAGTGTTAGATACATATTTATATGGCTTCCATATGGGACAAGAACTGGTTTATTCATTCATAGCAGAGGGGGAATCCAAATATTTATGTAGGAACACAAGAAGCACAAGTAGTCAAATTGACAATGGGAAAATATAATGAGAACACCAAAAACACAAGCCTAGAATGGGAAGTACTGGGATTCATTAGTGGAGATTGAAGGGGTCTTTATTAGTACTGAAAAACATCCCCCAAAATAGTTTCCACACTGCATCCTCGAGCTCCTTGTTCCTCATACTGTAGATGAGGGGGTTCACTGCTGGGGGCATTACTGAGTATAGAACAGCCAGCAAAAGGTTCACGGATGAGGAGAACCAGGAGGGGGGTTTCAGGTAGGCAAAAAAGGCAGTGCTGAGAAACAAGGAGACCACAGCCAGGTGAGGGAGGCACTTGGAAAAGGCTTTGTACATGCCCTGATGTGTTGGGATCTTCAGCACGACCCTGAAGATCTGCACATAGGACAGCACAAGGAAAACAAAGCACCCAGACACTAAATAAGCACTAACCACAAGAAGCCCAACTTCTCTTTGGTAGGCATCTGAGCAGGAGAGCTTGAGGATCTGGGAAATTTCACAGAAGAACTGGTCCAGGGCACTGCCTTGGCAGAGGGGGAGGGAAAAGCTATTGGCGGTGTGCAGCACAGCGTAGAGAAAAGTACTGCCCCAGGCAGCTGCTGCCATGTTGACACAAGTTCTGCTGTCCATTATTGTCCCGTAGTGCAGGGGTTTGCAGATGGCAATGTAGCGGTCATAGGCCATGATGGTAAGGAGAGAAAACTCTGCTGAGATGAAAAATAAAAATAAAAAAAACTGAGCAGCACATCCCAAGTAGGAGACGGCCCTGGTATCCCAGAGGGAGTTGGCCATGGCTTTGGGAACAGTGGTAGTAATAGTGCCCAGGTCTAGGAAGGCGAGGTTGAGGAGGAAGAAGCACATGGGAGTGTGGAGGCGGTTGTCACAGGCTATGGCAGTGAGGATGAGGCCATTGCCCAGGAGGGCAGCCAGGTAGATGCCCAGGAAGAGCCCGAAGTGCAGGAGCTGCAGCTCACGTGTGTCTGCGAATGCCAGGAGGAGGAACTCATTAGAGAAACTGCTGTTGGACATTTGCTGCCTCAGGGAATGGTAGGCTGTCAATGGTGGAAAAACACGGAACAAGTTAGAGAGATTTCTCTGAGGAAACCTAAACCTATATACTCTTATATTTTGTAAGAATATAAGAATATTATATTGTATAACATATATATTGTTTTCTGAAACCTCCCCAGGAAGAGAAACTGCTACTTGCCTTTGAGGAAGATGTGCTCCTGCCTCAAGATCTCAGTTTTGCTTCCTAAGAGTGCAGAGGGACCAGATCGATTTTCTGTGGGCTCATCCAGAGTCAGTACTGCCCTACTGCGTCTGCTGAAAACCAGTGGGGATGGATCTCAGATGCCCCGTGGCCAGAGGTGTCTCTGTATTTTAGGTGCTGAGCAGGACATCCAGCAATCCATCAGGAAACAATGCAGTATGTAGGTTAAAGAGTTAGAGGAAAACTGTGAGGTTCCACACAGACCTAAAGATCTCTTTGAGTGTAATGCTCTAACAGCCTCACTGACACAACCTGATGAGTCCATTAGCATTTCCCTGACTGCTCTTTAGGGCAGGAAAGTGAAAGCACAGCCTTTCAGAAGTACTTTCCCTGCAGGTAGTGCACGAGTTGGTCTACCTTGTTTAAAATCATCACCAGAGATACCCTGTGGGTGCTGAGGAGATGTGAGCTGCCTGCCCCAGGCATCAGCCTCTGGGCACCCGCAGGACCCTGCCCTGCCCTGCCAGGGGGTCCTTCCACCCACAGCTTCTCTCTGCAACACCCTGGGCAGCTCTCCAGGCAGGCTGAGTGCTGATCCTGGCAGGTAGCAGAGGCCCTGCCCCAGCACACAGCCCCTGGGGCACAGCAGGAACCCTGCTCTGCACCACAGCCCTGGACACCCCTGCCTGCACCCTGCCTGTACCTGTGGCCAGCCCTG